TCTTTTCTACAACAAGAGACTGAACGCAAACAAGCTACAATGTATACGTCAACTAAATATATGTAGGTATGATTTTAAAAGGGAGATAACTAGTTAACAACATTTGCATGTTGCAAAAAGGCTTAGTTAGTATAATTCAGAAATCTTGCTTTTAGCCTTTTCCCTGCATAGCTGTCCTGTACTGAATACAATCTGAACACTAAAGATATCATGTTTGCAGTTAAAAATCTCCAGAGACTTTAGACCCACACATAAAGATACTTATTTCACTCTTTTCTGAGACACTGACCTGTATCCTCATTTAAAAATGAACACCACATCTTTATGTTATTAAATCTTTATTTTGATCTATTAGTATTCACCAAAGTGCCATTTTATACAACCCCTCACTGAATAGGCAAGGCTGGAGGTAACCATCTGCAGCTTTAGAGTCTGCGTTTGAATTGATGAAAAGAGCTTTGTGTTTTCATTGCCAAGTTTGATTCTTCCAGTCATTAGACATTCCCCTCAGATCGCATCAATGAAGCGGACTCTCTTACACCCATGTGTTAAATTCTCTTCCCCTCATGGTTTCCTTTACCAGCTATACTCCAGAAAGACTACTGGGTCTTAGCCACATTCTTCTCACAGCTGTGTTAAAAAAAAGCATCAGAGCTTCTTCCCAAAATCCATATGTGTATCTGGTCAGTCCCCTGTCGAAGGGTCATCTCACATTGTGGTGTGATTATTCAAATATTCATTCTTGTTCTTGAACTGCACTGCTCAGATCATTCTGGGAAAGATTAGACCCTCCAGCCAGCACTGAGGAACGTCCTGGATGTTGATGTGAAACATACACAGCTCCCGTACTTGGAAGGCAGATTAGTTTGACTTGCAGAAGAGGGGGACATTAGCTACTTAATAAATGCTTGCTTCTTTTTCTTTCAATTTTTTTGCATTCTTTTCAACTGTGTCAACTGCTTATAAGAACTGTTTGCTTCTATTTTGTCATCGATCAACTTAATTATCAGCATCAGCTAAGAAACTAAGTGAACAACAACAAAAGCAGAGAAAGCATGTTCAGAAATGCTAGAGGGAAATTCAGGACTAAAAAAAAGAAAAAAAAAAAAGGGGGGGTTCTATTCACAATAAAATTTAGATGGCCAAAAAATCAAAGCATAAGGAGTAAAGCAAATGTTATTAAATCTAGAATTGCATTTATGACAGATAATAATTTCCTTTGATAAAACTGTTTATTCAGTAGACCACTTAGTTTTCTTTTATCCAAATCTGTAACTTTCCTGACTTCCCCTTTAGAAAAAAAAATCAAAAGATATCTTTAATAACGGTTAAGGACAAGTGAAGCAATAACTTCTAGTTTACATCACTTTCATATTTGCTTTATTCAGAATCAGAGCTACCTTGACAAAATACACAAGCAGCATGCCTCTCACCATTTATGCTTATTTTCATACCTGTATATTTTAGCACTGCACTGTTACTTTGTGGATTTCGTTTATTTTTAGAGGATTACACAGAAATTCTACCCACTCACCCTCCTCTGCCATCTTACACAGCTATACGAATGTGCGCGTGCATCTGTGCTCACATGCAGAGCTGTGCTTTACTGAGCCAGAATCATTAAATTATGACAAAAAAATAGAAGCCCTCAATAGACAAATTGCATTAAAATTCACTCCAGTAACAAAGCTGTTGCAGAAAAATAGAACGTTTCCTGGAAAAACCACATCAAAAGTGGCCTCAACCTTTACTGATAATTGGCTAATATTGATTTGGTATTACATTATAACCTTCTCTGATCTCACTGACATCAGCAGCCACTCCACAATCCCAGAGGTTCCAGCCGGAAGGACAGTTTTAAAACGCCTTGCTTCCTCTGCTGGCAGAGGTATTAATTAATTCACAGGCTCTCCCAGCCACCTTCTCCAGGTCAGCCCCATTTCCCTGCTGGGGCTGCACCAGCTGGCTCCTGGCTTCTCAGGCAGGACAAACTTGCACTATACCAACACTCCTGGAGAATTCTGTGCTGCTGTCCTAATTCTTTGTTTGTAACCATGAATTAGAAACATTAATTAAATATAGAAAATTACAGTAATAGCCATTCTACAGAGTATTGGTTAAAAATATTATCATGCAGATCATCATAATTTTCTATTGAATAAATATGTATTGTGTTATGTGTGCATTTATTTACACAGACCATAGTTAAGATATGTACTTGCTTTATAAACTAAATAGCGCTCTTTTAAGTCTAATGTGTATCTTGATAATGTTTCAAAATCAAAATAGATTCAAACAAATGCAGCTAAATCTGTGTGGTCACTTTCTGAGCATCAACATTTTCTGTCTCACACCATCACCCCTGTTAGGACAGTGAATCATCTTCACAGCAAGAGTACACAGTCTCAATTTATATCTCACACTGCTGTGAGCCAATGTGAGATGTTCACCCTACTTCAGTATAAACAGATTTTTACTATGTCCAAGTTCACTATAAGCAGATTCCAATATATCCCCCTTCTGGTTCACAGCTGCTATTCCACGTGGGACAGGATCCAGAAATTTTTTAGATGCCTTTTGTCCTGACAGAAAACACAGGACCACTATTCTGACTTGGATCTCACATTTAGAAAGCAACAATTGTCAGGGGATACACAAATGGCTGACATGAAGGCAACACCATGGAGAAATTACATCTCTGTTTCAAGCTCTACATATCATGCTGAATGCAAATGGTGAATTTTTTAAGAACATTAAAAAATATTTTAGTGTTGCCAGAGAACAGATTAGCAAAGGTATAGTGAACAGCAGTGAATTACATTGTATGAAGATACAAAGTACATCTTTTTTCAGCATTATTTTAATTATTCCAATTACATTCTTCCTTAATGAAGGTCATAATTACTTTCCTCTCCTGAATTTTAACTGTTGCTATTTCACTGAATAATATTGAGAAACTAGTTTATATAACTGATAAAACTACTTCCCTCATACGTCAGAATTCAATTTTAGTGGTGCATTTAAAAGAAGTCAAGAAAACAGATATTTCAGAAGTCTCTTTAGACTATGAATTTTAGTGTCACATTTTAAACTACATTAAACATCCTTGTAAGGCAGTGTTAATAATTAATACTGCTGTAATTAATACCAATTCTACCCATTGACAGGTTTATAAATTGTCAGTTCCTTTTTGAAATGCAGAACATCCTACATTTCTGAAATAAAATGCTAAGCTAACAAATGAGTTCCTGCCTAATTGCCAAACAGTGATTTGTATGAAGCAGTTTTGGTTACAAAGAAATTGGGAATTCTCAGCCCGGTTTCCCTGCTGATGAGTACGAACTGTCTGTGTAGCTCTCCCAGAGGTGTCAGAGGAATCTCTATAGTGTCACACAAGGGTTCTTAGCTCAAAGTAAACACACTTTCCACAAACTCAGCTGCTTAATCTGTTTGCAGGTTGAATTATAAGATGGGGGTGGATGACTCTGGGTGCTGGGAAGACGCACAGAGCATTTCCACAGTTTCTTGGCAAAAAGGGCATGCTATTGTCATCAAAAGACTTCAACCAATTGTTTAATTTTGCTATAGGCTCAGTTGTCTGATCTTAGCAATGATGAAAACTAACCCGACCAAAATTTTCCCAAGTAGTTTAGCGTGTTACATAAATACTTTTCACTATAGAGGTGCATCACCACTACTTTAATTTAGTTTGTGGCTGCACTTCTACTCTAGCCACCCCGGGTACACAGGATTAAACAAGACTGTTTCACTGTTTCACTAAAAAAAAAAAAAAAGTAATGAAAACCCAACCTCCATCTAAATATCTGAGGCTAGTAAATGTTTATAAATAAAATTACATGTAACAACTTAAAACAAGATACAGAAAGGTTCAATCAATATTCTCTTTACCATGCTTTAAATTATTTTTCATAGGTTTATTTTTATCAAGCTCACACCTGTTGAAGTCTCAAATATATCTAAGTGCTCAGAATAAAGACCAGAATGATTATTAAACTGCCACTGGAAGTTTTAAAGAGGTGATTGAAAATATACGTTTTCACATGTAACTATCTTAACTATATTTTATGCAGTTACAAATATATGAAAAATATAGGAATACTTTTTTTAAAAAAATAGAACTTAGCACGTATTTTTTTAAAATAGGAAAAACTCTTGTTAAGTCCTTGCAATATATTAAAAACCAATTTCTGGGTACTCTGTAAATATGCTGCAGACATTAAAGTTGAAGACAAATATAGACAGGACAATTTGCATCAATTCAGCATCAACCACTTTGGAAGGGTAAGAGAGGGGTGTTTTGCAGCTGACGAATGTAAAGCAGAGATGAGAAGTGCCAGACTGGCAAGAGGCTCTGCCTACACATTTGCCCATGTCCCAGCACTGAGTCTTTCAAAGGCTTATGTGCTCGTAATAACAAATATGACAAAAAGTACTTCAGTAGACATGAACTTCAGGTTTTGGAGTTCAGTAAACTTTTAACAGGGAATCTTATAATGGGAAAGAGAGTTCACTAACTCAGAGATTTCATGTGGCTCTCAGTGAGATTTTGAAGCCATCTCTAAACCACCTCATCAGCCCTTACTACAGCATGAAACCTGATAGATGTGTAACAGACAAAAAATGAGAACCTTAATATTCTACTGTGCAATTATAAAGGCAAATACTCTGTTGCCATAGGATTGCCACAGGGCAAAAAGACAGTGAAAACCATTCATAGGAGATGGAAAGACTTTGTGCCTTGCACATGCAGAAAACAATTTCCATAACAGTACAGAGAGGCACACTGACTTGCCTAATAATGCAAAACTGCTAAAATGATCAGCTTCACACTGAGTAGGTAATGAGCTGACAAAGAAGGAATAATTTTAAAGAATGTTTTCTAAGTTCTGCCACACTTTCAGTTATAAATAAAATACTAAAAGAAATAACATTTCATTTGGTTTTCAATTTCAATTTTTGTTGGAATGCAAGTGACTTACTTTTGAACTTTTTCATTGGCCTCCCGTGAGGCTTCCAGGGCTTTCTGGAGCTTCATCTCTGTGTCCTTTTGCTCTGACCGCGTTTGCTGCAGCTGAGCTGCCAGATCTTCAATCTGGCGATAAGTTAGGGTCACAACATCCTCCCTGCCGTGCAGTCCAGCTTCAGAAGTACTGAAAGCACAGGTAGGCTGATTCTTCAGGCTCGCTCCTTCAGACAAAGACTTGTATAAGCTGGGAAAGCAAAATCATACACATTACTAAGTTTCAGTCTAAGGCTGAGCTGCAAGAATACTACACTCAGTTTAATTAATACTTTTAATATTGCCATATATGGACTCACATGCACTACTAGCAAAGTAAGTTTTATTTCAGAAGTGACTGAGAACAAAAAGAACAATCCATTTCCAGAAGTATTCTAGGAGTACATAGAAACCACCAGAATTTCAAAAAAATAAAAAAACCTATTCAGCAAAAACTTAAAAGACAGCATTTTTCAGCTGTAGCATCTTGTTGATCACCTTTGAGCTGCAGTAAAAAGTTGTTAGTGTGATTTACATTACATTGAATTAATCACTGTAGGTTACTGATGTGTTATTAATTCATGTTACATAGGACTCGCTTTTAGCAAGCAGCAGACTCAACAGCTACAGGGAGTTTATTTGCAAAATGAGATTTTTTGATATAATGAAAGGAATAAAAAATACAATGAAAAAATAAAAATAAATAAATCAGCAAGATTACTTAGGAATATGAATGATTTGCACACACTAACCAATTCTAAAGATCTTTGGTCAATACTTTTTGTGAGAGGAAATGTAAAATATTTCTTGATTCTGGTTTGAATAAGCTAGTAACACTTGTATTAAAATATTCCGTGTCTTAAATAGCCTCTCTGTAGTAGACAGAGAAAGATGATCTGTCAGGGTTTTATCAGGGGACATTTCAATATCTACAGTGTCCTCCACCGTAATTTCTTGTAAGTTCCTTTCAGACCCACTGTATTGGCTTCACTCAGGCAAAAAGTAGACATGTTTGTCATCTGTTTCACACTGTAGTGCCATGGATGTATATTCAACTCATTCAGTTTTATCCATGAGTTTGAGATATGTTCATAGAGATTCCAAATTACAGAGCACAAAGCAAATACTCTTTCATTGCACAAAACAGAATACAGTATTAAATGCTTTGTATTTGTGTGCCAGAAAGTTTTGGGCAAATCAAACATTATTTCAATGTGGATTTCTAGTAGCAGTGCATACTGATTATAATATTCAAGACAGCCCATATGACAGCTGCTAGTATGCAATAGCATATTTTATTCCTTTGTAGTTTATTAAGGTGTTTGTATGGAACACTGTCTGTTCCAACAGACTAAGGAGAAAAATCATATATGAACTAAAATATAATATACATGGCCAAAAAAAAGTGGATGAACTAAAAGAAACAGAGAAGCTAAAAGGTCAGAGTGTTGAAGTGTCATTATGCCTACTAGCTGTGGTTATCTGAAAATAGTGTGAAGAACCTTTTCAATTAAATGAAGACATATTTAAAATATAAATATTTATAAAGGGACATTAAATTCCTAGAACAGAGTAATTAAAAAAAATTCCTTTAGCAGTTCCCCATAAAATTTACTGACTGAAATTCCACTATGGTTGAGCATTGATCACCATGGAAAAGCACAAAGGTATGCAAATAATGTTGAAAGCAGGTTACCGAAATACCACTACTGCCCACTTCTTAAACACCTGGCACAAGATTAAAAAAAAAAAAAAAGACAGATGAGAAGTTAAACTGTTCAATAAATATATGGGTCCCTAAATAAAAAAAATAAATAATAGAGGATAGCCTTAATATTCTAACTTGTTCACACCAGCTGAGAGTTTTTTCTTCAGAATATATGAAAAATATAGTAATTTATTTAGATTTTAAAATACTGTGTCTGTGTGGCTACAGCTGGGATCCTTCTCAAAGACTGGTCATGAACAATACAGGTTGTGATCTACTACTACATATCTTAACTCATAATGATTGCATCTGATTGGTCAATAGATTCTGACATCTATATTTTGTAGCCAGTGTTATTCCTCCAGATAAAGGCACTGTGGTTGATAGATATTTTAATTTATTTTTTTTCCAAAAGAATGAAATTGCCAGACTTCCATCAATATGTGCTTTGCTAAAATACTTTTTAGTCCCTTCTGATACTAATTTGAAATTCCTTCATCAATGTCCCAATGATTATGTCTTCAAAGAATATTGATGATATAAATAAAAAATAAAAGGGAGTTCTAGGCCTGAAGAATGGGTCACAGAAGTATTCAAACAGTTCCTGTATTTCAGTAATTCATATGTTCTTTATAGCAGGCCTCTTTTCTGCTCCAGCTTGGTATGAGAGCTTCAAGGGCCCACCTTAACCATGTCCAGGTGGAAGAAAAAGTGACATGTGATGATGTCACTTATGCAGCTCCTGCAGATAGCAAGAGGTTTCCTCAGCCCCCAAAGTCAGAGTAGTTTCAAGTCTGCTAAAAAATATCACCACTTGTAACTGCTCCCAGAGGGACTTGACTTTGGCTGAAAATCAACCCTATGAAGTGCTGCTCCAAAAACACTTATTGCTTTGCCAGGCATACTTTTGCTGCGAGGTGGGAAATGATTTTCCACCTGAAGCAATTACAGAACAACATAGAGAAATGCTCCACTTAAAGGAAAAAAAAACCCAACAGCAAAACCCCAAACATTCCCTACATGTCCCCTCCCTCTTCCTCCACCCCAGCGATAAACATATCCAGTGGTCCCAAAGACATGTAGGTCTAACCTTGATTTTCACCACAAATGTTTTTCACACTTGAGTAAGTTCTGTAGACCTCTTGGACTTATCCTGCACTCAGGATGGCTTTGAAAAGTGTCCCCTAATACTGCTGAGTGCACTCAAAGGCCATACAGCATCGATACCTTGAAGACTACCTTGAAGGTACTCTTACAAACATTGCAATAAGACGATATTAATAAAAAGCCCATAAGACCTAGAAGGACTTTGACATTTCACTGTAAAGTGGAGGATATAAAATGGTCAAGTTTGCGTTACATGTGAGTCAGGAGCCTGACAGCTGGTAGACTGGTAACTAGATGTCATTGCCCTACCATAGACAAATATTTTACTAGCCTTCCTTCATCTGCAATTACACAAGTTAAGAGGACTGTGTTTTCTTCTCAGTAAAACCAACCAACCATCTCTCACTAATTTAATGGAAGGCAGCAGCTGTGCTAGACTCTAGTGCACAGGCCATGGACCGGGTTACAACAGGAATGCTCGTTGCACATAACTTTCCACTGTCACAGTCCATCGCAGCGTCGCTCTCATGTGTGGTGTACCCATGCATTCTTAGTTTACTAGTGCTGATCATGCGTGTCCGTACTGTCCAAAACTAATTACATGTGAGTATGGATCCACAGTAAGCAGAAACTTGAGATTCAGGCTTCTCTCCTGTAATGATCTAGGGAAATCTGTGACCTGTACAAAGGTCTAAACAGTCCAGACACTACATGATGCAAGCACAGGTTCATTGGCAACAGTGAAAGCTCAAACTGATGGTCATCCATCTTAGAATTTCCATTTTTCAACAAATACAAATTAAAGGCTACTGGTAAACACATTTCTCCTCCTTGGGCCTCAGTCTCCTCGTCTTTAAATAAGAGCAATCACAATGCTACCTTTGAAAGGTGCTCTGAGTTTCACCAATGTCAAGAAACCCAGATTATGTCAAGCACAATCTGAATTTAGGACAAAACTGAACCCAGATGGTCTTCTGGTGATGCCAAGCAGCAAACGATCTCTTTTCAGACTCATTTTCACTCACCAGGACTACTGCAGTATCCCTGCTATTTCCCTGTGACTAGCCAGTGAGAGGTATTAAGGTATTATATGCGAGTTAGTCATTGGAGCCTTTCTTGAAATTGAAGGACCAGTGAGACATGCTCTCAAACAAGAAATAACTGGAAACCATAATTCCATTACAAACCCTTCATTTAGGGAGTTCCACAGTAACCAAATGTCTACTGTTCACTTTATGCAGGCCCTGGGCAAATCGCTCAGTTAGCATAGCCCCATCTGAGTGATACGCACACGACATTCAGCACCACCTATCATTCCTCACATCCACCCCACCACTAAATGGCCCAGGACCCCCACAAAACTAGTTTCTGGATTAATAGTGTTTGGTTAAAACAGAGCAAAACATACACAAAACTGATGAGTAGAAGGAAGGGTTTTTGAGGTCTTGGCAGCTGTAGTGCTTCTCTTCTGCTAGATCCATAGTTAATAGCTTGTAGCTAAGGAATCCACCTGAATTCCCTGGGTACATGATGCACCTATGGTTGGGGTCTTTATTAGCTCTGATTGATTTAAGGCTGGAAGATGATAACTTAGCCTTTTTCACACATACATATATGTTTTTTCACAAACACAGATATAGCACACCCAAGTTTACAGAAGAGACTACTTTAGATTTTATGGTTTAATCTTGAATATTACTTGATACATGTTAACATTAATTACATATCTTCAGGATTCCACAATGTATCTGGGCTAATTGCAAGAAACAGATTCCCAGGCTCTCAAATTTCTTCCACGAATTAGAAGACTGTGTTTTCAATAAAACACAGTTTTCCTAGGTTACTTGTTTCTCCTAGAACCATCTTTCTGTAAAATGTTCCTGTCGTGTTTTGACAGGGAATTGGCTGTATCAGCATATTTTAGCCCAATCATTCACAGAGTGCACCCTAAAGGCTTGCTTCTAAGTAAGTAAAATTAACCTGAAATTTAAAAATTAATTTTATTTTGTGTGGTGCTTACTTTATCATACCAGAAGTTACACAAGAATTTTGCTATCTTGTATCTGTTCTTCATTGTCAATTCATATGCTTTGGCCATTCTTAAGTATTTGCCAATGGCTTCAGTTAACAAAATAACTTTAACTTAGTATTTGTAGTACTGTAGTTATTCCCTACAGTAATAGACTGTTTAGGTAACACTGCAAATACAGAGGGAATCTTATCTATTAATCGAAGACAGAACTGGCACCAAGAGTGACCTCAATATTTGAATATAATGGATTTTTAAGATGGTGCCAGCAACTCTGTGTTTTACCATGTTTCACAGCCCCCTGTCTGCTTTTCTTGGGAAGTGTGAGCAGGGGCAGAGCAGCCCCTGGCTCAGCTGCGGGCAGTGG